CCACTGCCTTTAAACCCCGGAAGGGGGGGGCGGGGGGGGGGGGATTTTTTTGGGTTCTAGGCCCGCCGGGTTTAAAAAAAAGTTCCCGGCCCGGTTGGGGTAAAGGAAAACCTTTTTCAAAAAAAAAAAAAAAAAAAAAAAAAAAGAATACTTTGGCCTCTTCCAACCCCCTAAAATACTCCTCTCTCAGCCCTGAATGGGTTTGTACATTTAACATAATCATACTACTGGCTTGATCAAGCAACCTGAAACAAACATCCCCAAATGTGTTTTCAAGTTAAGTGTCACTCTAAACAACCCTTTCCTCCAATTATCTTTTAATTATTCCTATCTTCCCTCTCCCCTTTCAAGGAGTTGATTTAAACATCGATTACAGGGAAAAGCTCCCCAAGATGTCACTGAGGACTGAATGCTCATGACAAAACAGGTCTTCTCTGCTCCTGGCCACCAATGTGAAATGACGGTCCATTCCTGCCAAGAGAGTAGCTTCACGTGACAGGTGGAGATGAGACACACACAACTTCTCTGAAGTTGTAAACCTCCCCCCCATTTGCACCTCAGGAGATCTCTAAGATTAGCTCGATCGCTGGCCCAGATGTCAAGAAAGTCACTTCATTCTAAGATGTAGGTTAAGACTTCTCCAAGCTGAGACCACTACTATAAAAATATGGGCTACTGGAGTTTTGCCTTCCAGCATTTCTTGCAAACCTGTGGCACCCCTACTGACTTCTGACTGCCTTTTCAGCTGTTTAAAGTGTATGTAATTTACCTGGGAAGTCAAGATCCTTAGAAACAGCAAACAATGCAATGAGCCAGTGAAATGGCTGAGCAGGTAAAGGTGCTTGCCACCATAACTGAGGACCCGAGCTTAATCATCCCAGAACCTACATGGTGGAAGGAGAAAAGTGACTCCTCCAAGTTGACCTCCACACACTCTGTGGCAGGCATGGAAAACACACAAACACACAAAGTACATAAAGGTAATAGAATTAAAAATTTAAAATCGAGGCCAGCCTGGTCTACATAGCGAGTTCCAGGCCAGCTGGAGCTACAGGGAGACCCTGTCTCAAAAAGACCAAAACAAAAAAAAAAAAAAAGATTGATTTCCTTATTAAAAAGCAAATCAAAAAACCTAACAAAGGATAGACAACAGAAAAATTTCAGTGCACAGAGGCAGTCTTCCAAAGACAACAAATGACAGTCTATTTTACTGACAGGGAAGTCTTTATACTTACAGTTGGTACATACTCGGATGGGAATTTGTTTGTTGTGTAGGATATCAGGAGACATGTTTTACCAACAGCACCATCGCCCACAACAACACACTTAATCGTCTGCATTTCGGAAATAGTTCTGTATCCACTTTAAATACTTCAAATTAGATGTCCTACAAAGAAATTAAAGACATTTATTGTATTGACTTTTGCTTTTATCTGTATTTTCCCCCACAAATAATAACAATTTCGGCCTTCAGAAACAAAATTAGCCCTATTACTATCGCTGAAGGACTACAAGAAATGATGGCTTGCTCAAAGCCATTGTAACAAGTACAAGTCCATTTTCTAAGTTTCTGATCCCTGGTTGTTTTATCTTTCAAGTTCACATTGGAATAGTGAGCAGTATTTTTTAAATATCTTTGCTTCCACAGTGAAAGAAAAGTGACAATAGAAACTGAGACCCATGTAATGGTTGTTTGAAGTCTTTTTTTTTTCGTGTGGACACACGTGTGCAAAATCAACTGAAATGCAAGGAGCACTGCTGTAAAGAATGGCTCATTTAGATAACACAGTAGTGTTCATGTCTTATTTCTAGCTCTTAGGAGCTGAGTTTGAGCCCAGCCTGCTCTACAAAGCCAGTTCTAGGCCAGCTAAGGCAATACAGTGAGACCCTGTCTCAAAAAAGAAAAAAGAACAGTTCATGTACCCAGCCTTGGACAAGCAGCAGAGCCCTACCACCACCCCCAGAATATGTGAACAATGTAAAGAACAGGAAGATGACCAACGTGCTCTCTGGTCTCAGCAGCTATTGTGGCACCAATTAACCTATGCTAGTTCAATACCCATAGCCTCAAGAGTTTAAACCTACATTTTTACAATGAAATACCAGATCATATAAATTATACTGACATCTAAACTGGGGGTGGTGGCGCACGCCTTTAATCCCAGCACTCGGGAGGCAGAGGCAGGTGGATCTCTGCGAGTTCGAGGCCAGCCTGGTCTCCATAGTGAATCCAGGACAACTGGGGCTACAGGGAGACCCTGTCTCAAAAAGACCAAAAAAAAAAAGCTTTTACATACATACATACACACACACACACACACACACACACACACACACACTGACATCTAAAACATGTAATTACTTGGGCTAGGAAGATAGCTTAGTGGCAAAGCACTTTCAGCACAAAGTCTGGCAAACTGAACTCAGATCCCCAGAACTAACATAAAGCTGGATGCAGTAGCACAAGTGCCTGTATCCCAGTACACCACTACCAGGAGGTGGGAGAGAGAGGCGGAAGAACCACTGGACAGTCACAGGCTACTGCCATGTGCAGCAGTGACTAAGAGAGACACTGTCTCAAACAAAGCAGAAGGCAAGGACTGATACCTGAGGGTGTCCTCTGACTTCCACACAAGCACCACAGCACATATGGTCCCCACACTATACAAATCATGTGACTACTTTGGCTTCTCCTACTATAGTCTTCCAGTCTAAAAAGCTATCGATTACCACTGTGCAAACTTACTGCATTTTATCAATTCTGAGGTATAATTTCCCTTCAAACTCTGAAACTAAAATGGAATCTGTGTATGTGAATATGTACATTTGTATATGTACAGTACACATGTACTCAAATACAATGTTTGTGGGAGCTAGAGAACAACCTCAGGTGTCATTCTTCAAGCGCCATGTACACCTTGTCTCTCACTGACTAGAGCTCACCAAGTAGACTAGGCAAACCAGACAACTTTTTTGTGGGTTCTAGAAACTGAACTCATGTCCTTACATTGTTTACTATCTCCCCAGCCCCAAGGGAATCTTAGATTCAATGACTACTTCAATGGTTTTTCCTGAGAAAAACAAAGAAATAAATCCCATCCAGTGTAATCTCTGAAAGGATTACAATTTTCACTAGTTAGAGCTGCCATCTTATCTTATTAAACATGAAAATACCGTCCCTTGGACAGGTAATATGGCTCTGACAATCAAGGCACTTGCTACCAAGCATGATGACCTGAGTTCAATCCACAGGACCCACACGGCAGGAAAAGAGAACTGACTCCTACAGGCTGTCCCTGTGATGTCTCCCTCTGATGTCTACATGTGTACCATGGCATGTACAGGCATGTGCACATGCACATGCACACACATACACGCACACACAATAAATGCAAACATACATATTTATATTCCTTTACATTTAATCATAATGAATTATAAATGCCCTTAATACCTCTGTATAAGCCTTCAATACCTCACATACCACTGTACCCTTTTTTGGGGAGGCAGGAGGTTGAGACAGGATCTCCCTATAGCCCCAGCTGGCCTAGAACTCACTATGTAGACCAGGCTAGCCTCAATCTCACAGATCTGCCTGCCTCTGCCTCGCAAGTGCTCGGATTAAAAGTGTCTGCCACCATGTACCTTTTAAGCACTTAGCACAGACTGACACATTGTGAGTTAATAAATAGATACAAAACTCACGTAACAAAATTTTAAAAATCACATTAGGAAGTGATAGGAAATAAGCATTTTCATAAAAACTAAGCCAAATATGGTGGCACATGCCTATAATCTCAGGACTCGGGAGTCTGAGATATGATAATCTTTAATCTGAAGCCAGTCTGGGCAACATAGGAAATTCCAGACCTGCCAGGACTACACAAGTGAGATGCTGTCTCAAAAAGCAGAAAACAAAGCAACAATACAATGCTCTCCTACCAAGCACAAGAATCTTCAATTCCCAGAACTTACATTTTTAAAAAAAAGAAGAAGAAAAGAAAGCCTGGAGTCAGTGAGATGGCTCAATGGGTTAACGCACTTGCTGCCAAGCCTAATGACCCACATGGTGAAAGGAAAGAACCAACTCCCAAAAAGTTGTCCTCTGACCTCCACCTGTATATCACCGAGCAGATATATACATACACAAACAAAATGAAGGAATCAAAAAATGCAAATAAAAACATTTTTAAGCAGGGCATGGTGGCGAATGCCTTTAATCCTGGCACTTGGGAGGCAGAGGCAAGTGGTTATCTGTGAGTTCAAGGCCAACCTGCCAGGCCAACTAGTGCTACATGAGACCCTGCCTCAAAAAAAAAAAAAAAAAAAAATTAATTGTGCACACTTGCAAACCTAGAGCTTGGGAAGGAGAAAGGCTGATCCCTGGGGCTGTCTAGCCTATTTGGCAAATTCCAGGCCAGTGAGTGAAAACACCTTGCTTCAAAAACTAAAAAAGGGGCCAGGTGTGGTGGTACATGTCTTTAATCCCAGCACTTGGAAGACAGTGGTAAGCAGATCTCTGTAAGTTCGAAGTTCGAGGCCGGCCTGGTTCACATAGCAAGTTGCAGGCCAGCTGGGGCTACAGGGAGACCCTGTCTCAAAAAGACAAAAAAAAAAAAAGTCCTCAAATAATAGTGTTAACAAACACATAGCATTTACTAGGTGCCAAGTACTGCTCTAAACACACTATATATCCGCACTTCATCCTAGGCAGGCACTGTTATCTTACCTCTCAGGTCAAGATGAGACTCAGTGAAGTCAAGTTAACTACATTAAGGTGATTCAACAAGTGGTAGAAGTGGAATTCAAACACCAAGTTGCCCAAGTCTCAAATCTCTGCTCTTAAATATTACTATTCTTTATCTCTAGAAGTGACATTGTACAGTAAAAACAAATATTACTACAAATAAAGTAGTAACTGTATTACTTTGATAGTTGCTGACAATATAAAGAGGAAGGCAGAAATAAAGAGGAAGCAAGAAACAGTTTAGTTTACTTGCTGTTTCTTCACCCTGCCAACAACTGACTTTAGATGGGGAAGGAGGGCAAAAAGAGAGCAATTAAAGGGCTGGAGAGATGGCACAATGGTTAAGAGCACTGGCTGCTCTTACAGAGTACCTGAGTTCCAGTCCCAGCACCCACAAGGTAGATAACAACCATCTTTAACGCTAATTCCAAGGGATCCAATGCCCTCTTCAGATAGACTTACGTACATGTAGGCAAAACACTCATTCACATAAAATAAAAATAAATTTAAAAAGTTTAAAGAGTAGTTACTAAGCCCTTTGCTCTTCCACTTGCTGTTTACCTATAAATCTCCTATTTCTTGGGTTTCCCAATTTCACGACTCAGCAATTTTTGGAAACTGGTTGTGGCTCCTTGGTTAAGAGCCTGAGTTCTGGAGTCAGTCTGGTTCTAACAACAATCTATGTGAGCTTAGGCAACTTAAACTTCCTGTGGTTCACCTTTCCCCCTTCTCTATATATGAAGATCCAGCACATACTTTCTTCATAGGGTAAATTGACTAAGATGATTACACTGAACATAAAACTGCAACATATGGGCAGGCCAGATGACTCAGCAAGCGGGCAAAGACCCTTGCCACCAAGCCTGATGACCTGAGTTCAATCCCTGGGTCCCACATAGTGGGACAGAATCTACTAGAGAAAACTGTCCTCTGATCTCCACACATGCACACCCCCACACAATAAAAAAAAAGTAAATGTAATAAAAACGTTTTTAGAAAGCAATGCTTAAATTGGGAATGATGACACTTAGGCTACAGGAAGACTTGTCTCAAAAAGACAGAAGCCAGGCGTGGTGGTACATGCCTTTAATCCCAGCATTCGGGAGGCAGAGACAGGCAGATCTGAGTTCAAGGCCACCCTGGTCTACATAGTGCAGTCCAGGACAGCTGGGGCTACAGGGTGACTCTGTCTCAAAAAGACCAAAAAACAAAAACAAAGAAAAAGAAAAAAAAAAAAAAAAAAAAAAAAAAAAAAAAAAAAAAAAAAAAAACAGTAAATTTAGCTGTTTGTCTTGAATAAAGGCACCTTTTTTAGTCAATAAAATGAGTTCTAGCAAACCTTTTAAAAAGTAACATTTCCAGGCTATAAAGATGACAGTGGTTAACAGTACTTGCTGAACCTGTGTTAAGTTCTCAACCCCAACATGGGTCACATGTTGGTGGGTCACAACCACCTCTAACTCTGACTCCAAGAGGTCTGATGCCCTCTTCTGGCCTCCATGGGCACCTGCAAGCATATGGTGCACATACTTCAAGCAGGCACACACATGCACATAAAATAAAGTAACATTTCTAATAAAATTATAATATTCATTGTTCTAGTCAAATGTTGAGGTAACATCAAAGGGTATCTCAGAAAT